GTAACAGTGCCACTAGTAGATGAAGGCTCCCGGGAGAAGTTAAGGTAACAGCATACCTAGATCACAGTCTGGTTTTAGCTTCCCTAGAATTTACCAGAACCACTTTTGGGGAAGTCTAGGTAAGTCATGAGTGAATCCTAGCAACCTTAGGGCTCACTGTAATCAGAGAATCTGGCAGGCCCAGAGTATAGACCAGATAGTGGATGTCTGAGAGAGGCTGCTCTGTAATCTTGGTTTCTAAGCTCACCATGCAGTTGATCTGGATATAAAGGTATGGAGGGAAAAGCAGGAATATGATGAGTTTATGCCAATACAAGCCAAATGCAGATAAGAATCTGGGCCAGGCTCACCTGGGGATTCTGTCCAGTGGTTGAAAAGATGATACAGTGTCAGTGATGTTTTTGGGGATGGAAGTCCTCAGTGTGTCTTTTGATGTCCAAGATGTCTTGTCTTTGGACTGACAGGAGCATGTGATCTGTGGTCCAACTGTTTGTTATCCTGGTATTTCCTTTTACCATCATCTTGGGGATATTATTTACTTCTCTCTATTCCGTTTGATCTCACAATGCATATATTTCATGTCTTTCTCTCTCTTGGTTTATTCTTTCATTTTGGTGGAGTATATCTTATAGTAACAACTTGGGGGAGGATGTCTGGCAGGTAAATTTTGAGATTTTGCATGTCTTCATTTTACCCTTATACTTAGATCTTTGGCTAAATGTAAAATTCTTGGTTGAAACTTTGCCAGAATTCGAAGGTATTGTCCCTTTGTCTTTGTCCGTCTGTTATTGTTGTTATTGTTGTTATTTGATTTCTAATTTGTTTTCTGACCTTTTTTGTTTCTTTTTAGAAACTGGATTTTGCTTCTACTGTTACCAATCTTTGCAATGATATGCCTTCGTACTTTACACTGAGCACTTGAAAATGTCCACTTGGTGGACATTTTCATCCTGGAAACTGCTTTCCTACAGCTCAGTACTTTAAAAAGTTATTTTATTGATGATTTCCTTCCTCTTTTTCTTTGTACTCTCTTCCTGCCCTCCTGTTAGTCAAATGTTAGACCTCCTAGGTTGCTCCTCTAACTTCCTTACCTTGTTTCTCCTGTTTTTCATCTCCGTGTTTTGTTTTTTTCTGAGAAGTTATTTCACCTTTACCTTACAGCCCTTCCATTGCCCCTTTTTGCTTCTTTATTTTTTTCTTATTTCTTAGAGTTCTTTTTGTTCTTTTGATGTTCCCTTTTTGTGGCATCCTGTTCTTATTTCTTATATCCCTGGAAATCAGTGAATTTTTAAAAATGTATTGTCTTGGCCAGGCACGGTGGCTCACACGTGTAATCCCAGCACTTTGGGAGGCTGAGGCAGGTGGATCGCCTGAGGTTGGGAGTTCGAGACCAGCCTGACCAACATGGAGAAACCCCGTCTCTACTAAAAATACAAAATTAGCTGAGCGTGGTGGCCCATGCCTATAATCCCAGGTACTAGGGAGGCTGAGGCAGGAGAATTGCTTGAACCTGGGAGGCAGAGGTTGCAGTGAGCCAAGATCGTGCCATTGCACTGCAGCCTGGGCAACAAGAGTGAAACTCCGTCTTAAAAAAAAAAAAATTGTCTTAATACGTAGTCTCAGTTTCTAACAAATTACTTTTTTTTATTTATTTGGTCTGGATCTTGAGTTCATATTAGAGGGTTTTCTCAGATATCCGGTAATCCTTGGCTGTCTGCTTGTGTCTCAGAAGCTCCTGGAAAGCCCAGTCTGAACCCATAGAAGGGTTTGTAACACAAAGTTTTGCCCTCCCACTGTGGGGAGCTCTTTGGACTGGGCCAGGCACCAGAATCTGGCCCAGTGCTTCTCCAACTGGTGAAGCTCTAGGATTTTTTTTCCTTTTTTTTCTTTTTGAGACGGTGCTCAGTCTCAGCTCACTGCAAGCTCCGCCTCCCGGGTTCACACCATTCTCCTGCCTCAGTCTCCCAAGTAGCTAGGACTACAGGAGCCCACCACCACGCCTGGCTAATTTTTTGTATTTTTGGTAGAGATGGAGTTTCACCGTGGTAGCCAGGATGATCTCAATCTCCTGACCTTGTGATCTGTCTGTCTTGGCCTCCCAAAGTGCTGGGATTACAGGCATGAGCCACCGCGCCTGGCCTGATTTTTTTTTCCCCCTTTTACCTCTCAGTCTATTACAGTTGATAATTTTAAAGCATAATAAAAATAAATTGCCAGAATAATGAAATTTTAAAAACGAAGACATATAAAACACAAATATGTATTTTTATTATTAGATTTAACAGATAATAACCCTAACTCTGAAAATTTCTGTAATAGTTTATAAATGTTTATTTTCGGTTTCGGTACTTACCTTGTCATGGACTGGTGACAGATGGCTTATGGACCATCAGCAGACCATAGTTTAAGGAGCATTGTTGTCACCTAGGAGCCAACCTAGAAGCAGAAAAAAAAAAAGGGATATGAGGTGAGGGTTTGTGTCTCATGTATGTGGTGATTTAATCCTCTTGGTTTTGGTGTAGTACCTACTCTCTCACCTGTGCCTGGTCTCCCCGAAAACAAAGATTCTGTTTTACCCACTGTAGAGAGTAAGCCTCCAGACTTCTGTAGTGGGGAAACAGCAGTAACCGATAGCTTGATAGAGTGAGGAAGAGAATCTTAGCATCTAACTAAAAGTCAACCTGCTTTCTCCAAATTTCTGTTTTAGCTTCCCCCTCACTCCTTCCTCTCATTTCAGAGTTGCTTGGTGCTGCCAGTTCTTAGGCCTCGTAAAGATTCAGAATGTAAAATGTGTTAGTTGCTAGCTTTCTCAACTGTCTGCAAGGTCATTTATGTGCTTTTCAGTATCCAAAATTTTGTTGCTGTTGTTTCCTCTTCTGTTTTCTGTTGTGAATTTTGCTGTAAGCGATTCTAAATATTTGTTGTCGCAAGTGTTCTTTTTCTCCATCCAGTCTTTTCTGCTTTCTTAACTATATTAATCACAATGTTTATATTCATTTCTGTGTTGTAGGTTATATTGTTTACAGATATTTGTTCTATATTACTTTTTTTGAGTTCTTTGTGATTTAAATTTGAATTTGCTGAAGTATTTACTCAAAACTTTTTTCCTTAAGGAGTACATATGTAGTATATTTTCTGAATCTTTGCATATCTAAAATTGTGCTTTTCCCTCACATATGGGAACTTTTCTGGATGTGAAATTAATCTTGGGTTACCTCAGAACTCTGTATAAATACTATTCCATTTTCTTCTCGAGTTTAGAGTTGTGAATGAAATGTCTGATTAATATTGGTGTTTGGGCTGGGTGTGGCGGCTCACACCTGTGATCCCAGCACCTTGGGAGGCCAAGGCAAGTGGATCACGAGGTCAGGAGATCGAGACCATCCTGGCTAACACGGTGAAACCCCATCTCTACTAAAAATACAAAAAAAAATTAGCCGGGCGTGGTGGTGGGTGTCTGTAGTCCCAGCTATTTGGGAGGCTGAGGCAGGGGAATGGCGTGAACCTGGGAGGCGGAGCTTGCAGTGAGCCGAGACTGTGCCACTGCGCTCCAGCCTGGGCCACAGAGCAAGGCTCAGTCTCAAAAAAATAAAAATAAAAAAATAAAAAAATTGATATCTGATTAAAGGTGGTGTTGCTGATGAAAAATCCCTTTTTTTAAGGTAACTATCACCACCTTTTTGGATAGCATTTCATTTTTATCTTTTAAGCTAAAAATTTTTACAAGAATAAGTTGTAGATACTGAGCTTTATATTCTCCTTCTACCTTGTAATCTTGCCTGGTTATTTGGAGAGCCTTTGATTTTAAAAATTTAGGTCTTATTGAAAACAAACAAAAACCTAGGTACAATTTTTTCTCATTTTCAAAATCATTATTGCTCCCGCATCTACTTCATTCTCTCTTATATGACAGTCAATATGCTCTTTTTTATTTTATTTTATTTTTTTTTGAGACGGAGTCTCGCTCTGTCGCCCAGACTGGAGTGCGGTGGCCGGATCTCAGCTCACTGCAAGCTCCGCCTCCCGGGTTTATGCCATTCTCCTACCTCAGCCTCCCAAGTGGCTGGGACTACAGGCGCCCGCCACCTCCCCCGGCTAGTTTTTTGTATTTTTTTTAGTAGAGACGGGGTTTCACCAGGTTAGCCAGGATGGTCTTGATCTCCTGACCTCGTGATCCGCCCGTCTTGGCCTCCCAAAATGCCTGGGATTACAGGCTTGAGCCACCGCGCCCGGCCCTCAATATGCTTTTTTTCAATATGCTAGTTATTACCTGATTTTTTTTTAAGTTTTCTCTCTTTTTTTTAATTGCAGTAACTTTCTTTTTGTTTTTTGTTTTTGTTTTTGTTTTGTGACAGAGTCTCATTCTGTCACCCAGCTTGGAGTGCAGTGGCATGATCTCGGCTCACTGCAGTCTCCACCACTACCTCCTAGGTTCAAGTGATTCTTGAGCCTCAGCCTCCTGAGAAGCTGGGAGTACAGGCACCCATCACCATGCCTGACTATTTTTGTGTTTTTAGTAGAAATAGGGTTTCACCATGTTGGCCAGGCTGGTCTCAAACTCCTGACCTCAGGTGATGTGCCCTCCTCGGCCTCCCGAAGTGTTGGGATTACAGGCGTGAGCCACTTACTCCCGGCCTCACTGCAGTAACTTTCATTATGGTCACAGCTGGGTGGGAGAACAGGGGAGAGGTTTCTCAGAGGGTTCAGATTATTTTCTCTTTTTAGAGCTGCTGTATCCAGTGATGTTTCTGCCTACTTATCTTTTTTTGTTGGCATTGGTGGTTAAGATGAATTCCTAGAGAATACACCAAGATTTTCTCAGTGTTTTTGTTAGAAGAAGGGGAAGTTGAGATTTAACCTCATTTATTTTTCTGACAGTGTAGAGATAATTCAGTTATGTGGCGAAAGGACAGGGCTCTTGAGCAGAGGAAGATAGCAATGGGTGTAGGAAGATTCATCTTTGTTCAGAAATAATGTCCTCTTTGCATCTCTCCTGACAGTTGGTGCTAACAATCCCCTACTCTGGCCTCTGGACCTAGCTTGAAGTTCTGGATTAATTTCCTTCTTCCTTGTACCTCAGCCTGAGCCTTCTGTCACCCAAAGGGCTCCAGCTTTTTTTCACTCAGGCCTCACTTTATCTTCCAAGGTATGTTTAGGGGTAGGAGTAGTCAGAATTACGTTTCTCACTTCCTTACTTGGGGCATAATGGGCAGATCCTCATTAAATATTGATGGGATGAATGTTCCTAGTGAACTCCCTCTTTAAAAATGGTGGTTGGCAGTGGGTCGGCGTTTGTTTTTACTCCCCTCTCACCAGACCATTTCCTGTCAGACACCTTGCTGTATGTATATGGAATGTTTTTCTAGTTCCTAGCCATTTTGTAGGAGTTTTTAAGTTATATTGTTTGGTTGTTTCCGTAGGCAGTTAGGAGGAGGAGGAAGTCAGACGTTTTCAGTTGCCATGTTCTTATAGGAAACTACAGATTATTTTAATACTTTTACAAAGTTGTATTATTTCAAGACCTATTGAGATGTTGGTCAAGTCTTATGCTGTAATAATACATATACAGAAGGCAGTAGTTTAAATAGCACATTTAAAACCAGTAATCTGGGCTGGACGTCGTGGCACACACCTATAATCTCAGTACTTTGGGAGGCCAAGGCGAGTGGATCACTTGAGCTCAGAAGTTCAAGACCAGCCTGGGCAACATGCCAAAGCCTCATCTATGCAGAAAAATATAAAAATTAGCGTACTGTGATGGTATATACCTATAGTCCCTGTTACCTGGGAGGCTGAGGTGGGAGGATTACTTGAGACCGGGAGATTGAGGCTGCCGTGAGCTGAGATCATGCCACTGCACTCCAGCCTAGGCGACAGTGAGACACTGTCTCTAAATAAATAAATAAATAAATAAATAAATAAATAAAACCAGCAATCTTTGTTGTTGGGTAGAGATTGGACTGTGGTAAAAAGAACATTAGCTCATAGGTTGGAGGATTACAATTGTAATAAAAGTTTTCTTTTTTTATGTTGAGATGTTCGCAACATGCCAACATGTTTTGTCCATATGTGGCAACCTCTGTATAAATTGCTGTCAGATATCAGGTTTGTGTATTAGTCAGAGTTCTCCAGAGACACAGAACCAATAAGATACATACACATCATACCTTGTTTAACGATGGGAATAAGTTCTGAGAAATGAGTCATGAGGTTATTTTGTCACTGTGTGAATATCAGAGTGTACTTACAAAAACCTAGATGGTGAACCTGTTACACACTTAGGCTATGTGATATAGCCTATTGCTTCTAGGCTACCTGTATAGCATGTTACTGTACTGAATAGTGTATGCAAATGTAACACAATGATGAGTATTTGTGTATCTAAATGTAGAAAAGATGCAGCAAAATTACAATATTACAGTATTACAATCTCTTGAGACCACGTTTGTTTATTTGGTTCATTGTTGACTAAAACATAATTATGCAACATGGACTGTATATAGATTGATGGATATATAAATACATGATAGGGGATTTATTAAGGGAATTGACTCATGTGGTTAGGGAGGCTGAGAAGTCCTGTAACAGGTTATCTGCAAACTAGAGACCCTGGGATGCTGGTAGTGTGATTCAGTCCAAGTCCAAACGCCTCAGAACCAGGGAAGCCGATGGTCCAATTCTCAGTCTGAGGCTAAAGGCCTAACCAAAGCAGGGCTGCTGGTCTGAGTCCTGGAGTCCTAAGGCTAGAGAGCCTGGAGTTCTGATGTCCAAGGGCAGGAGGAAGAGAGTGTCCTTGCTCCAAGAGAGAGGCAGGGGAAATCCTTTTCTCTCCTTTTTTGTTCTGCCAAGGCCCCTGGCCGATTGGATGGTGCCACCCACACTGAAGCAAATCTGCCACACTCAATCTACCGACTCACATCCTGGTCTCTGGAAACACCCTCACAGACAAACCCAGAAGTAATGTTTTATCGGTTTTCTAGGTGTTCCTTAATCCAGTCAAGTTGATACCTAAAATTAACCATCACAGATTGCTTCTCCATGCAACAAGTTGAACATAATTGAAGACATATAATAGACTCTCTAGAGAAACTTAAAATTTGAGGGCAAATAACAAACCCCAAACTAGCTAAAATACACAAACTCCTCTAGTGCTATATTGTATATGCCATTAAATACGAAGAAGATTGACATTCAACTTTATTTAACAGTTACCAAGCTTAAGTAAGAGCTAAGTGGATTTCCTAATAAGATGGTCTCTTTTATCCTTATTGTTATGCCATTTTTTTGACTTACAAAAATGTTCCCAGTGAAACTTTTGAACCTCTTGTATTTGAAGTTGAAACCAGTGAAAACACATGAAAACTCGAGTAGTACAGAAGAGGTGTCAAATGTGAAATAGGACATAAGCAGTGTAAATACTGAGTTTCCATCTGCTAGGCATCTAAAATTTTTTGATACTCAAACAGAAAAAGTGTGTATTACATTTTAATAATCCTATTCTCAAGGTCTAAGTGAGACATTATTAGAGAAGGAAGCCAAAGCTGTCTGTTATGTTTTATTTCACAACCATTTTGACTCCTGAGTTACATATTAGAGTGTCTTACAAGATTAGACACTTTGATTTCCTACCTCTACATATATTCCATTTCCCCACTCTTGCCCTAGTCCCTGAAGGAGAACTGAACACGTGATTTAGTAATACTATTTTCTTTTTAATAAACTCATATAATTCTTTCTACACCCAGCCTGGGCAACATGGTGAAACCTCATCTCTACAAAAAATGCAGAACATTAGTTGGGTATGGTGGCGCATGCCTGTAATCCCTGCTGCACGTCGGGAGGCTGAGGTGGGAGGATCACCTGAGCCTGGGAGGTCAAGCCTGCAGTGAGCCGTGATGGTGCCACTGCACTGCAGCCTGAGTGACAGAGTGAGCCCCTGTCATCAATTTTTTCTTTCTCTTTCTCTCTCTCTCTCTTTCTTCCTTTCCTTTCCTTCTTTCCTTCCTTTCTTTCTCCTCCCTCCCTCCTTCCTTCCTTTCTTTTCTTTCTTTTTTTCTTCCTTCCTTTCTTCTTTCTTTTCTTTTTTTTCTTTTCTTTTCTCTTAACAAAGCAGTGAGTTAAAACCTGACTGTTGGGTTGTAGAGCCCTTCTCTTATTGGTAATTAGTGTCTAGTTCATTCTCCTAGAAAGGCAAGTGCTCTGCTTTGCTAGTCATTCTGAAATCATCTGTAAGCCCCATCTTTGTTTAAGAATAGCAGTCAGATAATTCTTCTCAGCGTTTTCTCCTGGTTTCCTGACAGTTCCAGTTACTTTTTCAGCTTTTCTTGTTTTAGGGCCCTAAAAACCCTTCATAAGGCCTTCATCTTGTATTAAACATCCCATTCTAGATTCACATTTTACTGTATTAGTCATGGCATGTAAAACAATTCAATAATTGGTATCCTTCTGATTAATTTATTGTAGATCTCTTAATATGTAAGTAATTCAACTTTTAATCATTCCCTCAGTAAAGAATTTCTAAAACACTAAAGTTCATAGGTATTTAGATTAATTGAAGTTTAAAGCTGAGATCTTTGGATAGACATTTATGGATGGGAAGCTTAATGTGATTTATACTATATTTTGTTTAGCTTATCTGATTTTGTCTATTCATATATGTAGAGCACAAAATTAAAAACATGTAATTTTTCTAATAATGCAATTTGACATTTTAATGACTGAACCTTCAGTATTTAGATTCCTGTCTCAACAATATATTGTTATGTCCCATACATGATAATCACATAGAGTAATAGTGGTAGCTATGATTTATATAGCACTTTTAAGGATATTTTTACATATATTTTCTCATTTTATATTCACAACAACATTGTGAAGGACATAGGGGAAGTACTAATTTTTTCCCCCATTTTACAGATGAAGGAACTAAGACACAGAGGTTGAGACTTGTCTAAAGTAACATGACCAGTAAGTGCTTGAATTAATGCAGGTAGGTAGTGATGGGTATGTTCTAATCTGCCAAGGGCTTTTCCTTGCTGTCATCTGGCTAGAGTTGTAGGGATATAAATCCACATAGCAAAATGGTAGGGAACCAGAAAGGTAGTAAGTAGATGAACTTTAGGACTACACCAGGAAAATGGTGCTACTGTTCTTTTAAATTTCTTCCTTTTTGTTCTTTTTGTTTGTTTGTTTGCTAACCTGTTAGTAATGATAAGCAGATACTGTCTTTGGTTGTTTCTGTTAGATGAATGAAGCTTCTGTTTTAACTGTAGATTATCTCTGAGGAGCTAAGGAAGTAGAAAATCTGGAAAGGAGTCTGTTGGGATTCTCACAGGGAATAGCTATTAGATCAACTAAGCAAATGAAAAAGTTAATAGTATATGGATAAACCACATGTGTGTAATTGGAACTTTTTAGGATTCTGAGATTTTTAAAGTCTTGTTTAAAAACTGTGTTATCACCTTAATATAAAAGTCTTAGTGCTTGAGCATACTTATCCAACTGTGGTTTTCTTTAGATGAGGAAACTGAGGTCCAGAGAAGTTGAAGCTTTCCCAAGGTCACACAGCAGAGCTGGAACTAGAGCTTGCATTTCCTGACTTCCAGATTAGTGTTATTTTTACTTCAAACTATTACTTCTTGGTAAGCTGTTCTTAAAATACTTAACAAGTCTTTTGTATATTTAATTTGTGTTTTTGATTAACATTCCTACTTTGTGCCAAAATGAACTTACAGATACGAAATTTACTGTTATTTTTTGTGATGAGAGTTTCAATTCTTTGTTTAATTTTAGGTGAGTTATTGTGGGAAAAATCCTGTATTTTGAAGATGTCTCTACACAGTATCGTTTCCTGTTTAAATTACAGATAACTTCAAGAGTTTTCAGAAAAAAAGAAATTGGGACTTTTTTGGTTAAATCATGCCATCTGAACAGAAAGAGTTATTTTGTGATGAAAAACAAACAACTTTAAAAAAAGATTATGATGTGAAAAATGAGATAGTTGATAGATCAGTACTTAAGCCAAAAATTTCAGAAAGTATTCATTATGAACTAAAAAATGTGAAAATTCATTTGCCAAAAATAAATATTCCAAATGAAGTCCTATTGAAACATGAAGTTGACAAATACAGAAAATTATTTCAGAGTAAACAGCAAACTGCAAGAAAATCTATCAGTATAAAGACTGTAAGCTGTGTAGAGGAGTGTACATTGCTTCATAAGTCTGAGAGAGCTGAAGAAGAGGGTATAAAAATGTCTGCAAAAATACTCAATTTCAGCTGTTTAAAATGCCGAGACAACACTCGATACAGCCCAAATGATTTGCAGAAACACTTTCAAATGTGGCACCATGGCGAATTACCTTCATATCCTTGTGAAATGTGTAGCTTTTCAGCAAATGACTTTCAGGTATTTAAACAACACAGACGAACCCATAGAAGCACTTTAGTAAAATGTGACATTTGTAACAATGAGAGTGTATATACTTTACTGAACTTGACAAAGCATTTCACATCCACACATTGTGTTAATGGTAATTTTCAATGTGAAAAGTGTAAGTTCTCCACCCAGGATGTTGGCACATTTGTTCAGCACATTCATAGACATAACGAAATTCATTATAAGTGTGGTAAATGTCATCATGTATGTTTTACCAAAGGAGAGCTTCAGAAGCACCTTCATATTCATTCTGGTACTTTTCCCTTCACTTGTCAATATTGTAGCTATGGTGCCACCAAGAGAGAACACCTTGTAAGACATGTTATAACTTTGCACAAAGAACATTTATATGCAAAAGAAAAACTGGAAAAAGACAAATATGAAAAAAGAATGGCAAAGACTTCAGCAGGACTTAAGCTAATACTGAAAAGATATAAAATAGGTGCATCAAGGAAGACATTCTGGAAACGTAAGAAAATTAACAGTGGAAGTGATAGAATTATAGAAAAGAACACGCAAGTGCTTCAGAAAATGAACAAAACACAGACTAAATCTGAAGACCAGAGCCATGTTGTTCAAGAGCATTTAAGTGAAGAAAAGGATGAAGGACTACACTGTGAGAATAATGATAAAGCCCCTGAATCAGAGTCAGAGAAGCCAACTCCTGTGTCCACTGGGCAAGGTAATAGAGCTGAAGAGGGACCAAATGCTAGTTCAGGTTTCATGAAGACTGCTGTACTAGGACCTACACTGTTAATGCTGAAAAATAATAAAATAACAGTTCCCCCTAACTATAGTGCTAAGTTTATGGGCTTCAAGATGATGGATGGAAAACAGCATATTGTATTAAAATTGGTGCCTATCAAACAAAATATATGTTCACCAGACTCACACTCAGGTGCTGCAAAGGACAGTACTGCTAATTTGCAGCCCCAGACTTTGGACACTAATGGATTTTTGACAGGAGTAACAACTGAGTTAAATGATACAGTTTATATGAAAGCAGCTACTCCATTTTCGTGTTCATCTTCTATACTTTCAGGGAAAGCAAGTTCAGAAAAGGAAATGACTTTGATATCTCAAAGGAATAATAAGCTTCAAACAGTGGATAATGAGAAGAGTGTATCTTCTTTGTCAGCAACGTCAGAATTGGTTACATCATCAGTGAATTTGACCACAAAGTTTGAAACGAGAGATAATGTTGACTTCTGGGGAAATAATCTCACTCAGAGTCACCCCGAGGTATTAGGTACCACCATTAAAAGTCCAGATAAAGTCAACTGTGTTGCCAAACCAAATGCATACAGCAGTGGAGATATGCATAATTATTGCATTAATTATGTCAACTCTGAGCTACCTGTTGAGTCCTCCAACCAAGGATCATTACCTTTTCATAATTACTCAAAAGTGAATAATTCTAATAAACGTCGTAGGTTTTCAGGAACAGCAGTGTATGAAAACCCTCAAAGAGAATGTTCATCCAGCAAAACAGTTGTCCAACAACCAATTAGTGAATCATTTTTATCACTAGTGAGGCAGGAGACCTCAAAACCAGATAGCCTGTTAGCATCTATTAGCCTTTTAAATGATAAAGATGGAACTTTAAAAGCAAAATCTGAAATTGAAGAACAGTATGTTTTAGCAAAAGGACAAAACATTGATGGACAAAACCTGTACATTAATGAAAATCAAAATTTAGAGTGTGCGACTGAAAAATCTAAATGGGATGGCTTTTCTAATGTGGATTCACCTATGATGCCTAGAATCACATCTGTTTTCTCTCTCCAGAGCCAACAGGCATCAGAATTTCTGCCACCTGAAGTAAACCAATTGCTTCAGGATGTATTGAAAATAAAACCTGATGTAAAACAAGACTCTAGTAACACTCCAAATAAAGGCCTACCACTTCATTGTGACCAGTCATTTCAAAAACATGAGGGAGAAAGCAAAATTGTTGAATCTTCGAAAGATTTCAAAGTGCAAGGCATCTTCCCAGTTCCACCTGGCAGCATGGGTATTAATGTGCCTACAAATGATTTGAATTTGAAATTTGGAAAAGAAAAACAAGTGCCATCAATGCCACAAGATGTGAGAGATTCAGAGAAGATGCCTAGAATTTCAGGGTTTGGCACATTACTTAAGACTCAGTCAGATGCAATAATAACACAGCAGCTTGTAAAAGACAAACTACGAGCCACCACACAAAATTTAGGTTCTTTTTATATGCAGAGTCCACTTTTAAATTCAGAACAAAAAAAAACTATAATTGTTCAGACTTCGAAAGGATTTTTAATACCACTGAACATTACTAACAAGCCTGGGCTACCGGTTATTCCCGGAAATGCACTTCCATTGGTTAATTCACAAGGTATCCCTGCTTCTCTTGTTGTCAACAAGAAACCTGGGATGATTTTAACACTTAATAATGGGAAACTTGAAGGTGTTTCCGCTGTCAAAACCGAGGGTGCCCAAGCTCATGGAACTATGACTAAGGAGCCTTGCAAAACACCTATTTTGAAGGTAGAACCAAACAATAATTGTCTTACACCTGGACTTTGTTCCAGCATTGGCAGTTGTTTGAGCATAAAAAGTAGCTCAGAAAATACTTTGCCATTAAAAGGCCCTTACGTTTTGAAACCAACAAGTTCTGTGAAAGCTGTTCTTATTCCTAACATGCTATCCGAGCAACAGAGCACTAAGTTGAATATCTCTGATTCAGTAAAACAGCAGAATGAGATTTTTCCCAAACCACCTCTTTATACCTTCTTGCCTGATGGCAAACAAGCTGTTTTTTTAAAGTGTGTGATGCCAAATAAAACTGAGCTGCTTAAGCCCAAATTAGTCCAAAATAGTACTTATCAAAATATACAGCCAAAGAAACCTGAAGGAACACCACAAAGAATATTGCTGAAAATTTTTAACCCTGTTTTAAATGTGACTGCTGCTAATAATCTGTCAGTAAGCAACTCTGCATCCTCATTGCAAAAAGACAATGTACCATCTAATCAGATTATAGGAGGAGAGCAGAAAGAGCCAGAATCTTCTAGAGATGCCTTACCCTTCTTACTAGATGACTTAATGCCAGCAAATGAAATTGTGATAACTTCTACTGCAACATGCCCAGAATCTTCTGAGGAACCAATATGTGTCAGTGACTGTTCAGAGTCCAGAGTATTAAGGTGTAAAACAAATTGTACAGTTGAGAGGAACTTTAATAGAAAAAAGACTTCCAAAAAAATTTTTTCAAAAACAAAAACTCACGGAAGTCAAGACTCTGAAACTGCCTTTGTATCTAGAAACAGAAACTGTAAACGAAAGTGTAGGGATAGTTACCAAGAACCTCCAAGAAGAAAAGCAACATTGCATAGAAAGTGTAAAGAAAAGGCAAAACCTGAAGATGTCCGTGAAACATTTGGATTTAGCAGACCTAGGCTTTCAAAAGATTCCGTCAGAACTTTGCGGCTTTTCCCTTTTAGTTCTAAACAGCTTGTGAAATGTCCTAGGAGAAACCAACCAGTTGTAGTTTTGAATCATCCTGATGCAGATGCACCAGAAGTAGTAAGTGTAATGAAAACTATTGCTAAATTTAATGGACGTGTACTTAAGGTTTCATTGTCAAAAAGAACTATAAATGCTTTACTGAAACCAGTTTGTTATAACCCTCCTGAAACACTTTACGATGATTTTTCCAAGAGGCACAAAACATTTAAACCTGTTAGTTCCGTGAAAGAAAGATTTGTGCTAAAATTAACACTGAAAAAGACAAGCAAAAACAATTACCAGATTGTGAAGACTACCTCTGAAAATATTTTGAAGGCTAAATTTAACTGTTGGTTTTGTGGTAGAGTATTTGACAATCAGGATACTTGGGCTGGTCATGGGCAGAGACATTTAATGGAAGCCACTCGGGATTGGAACATGTTAGAATAGTTTACCATAATTACCCAGGAAAAGAAAAGTAAAATTACCTTAGAAGAAAACAATGCGTTGAATTACTGTAATGCAGACATTTTCTACTTCAGTATAGTACCTGAAATTGAACACTTAAAAAGTTGATTATCTTTCTGTGGAAGAGTAAAAATTGTGTGTATGATATTTGAAACTACTATTCCTGCACTCAGAAGTTTTGAAAGAAACTAATCACAGCACAGAAGTACCTTGATTTAATTTTTTAAACGTGTTCTTGGGAAGTTAGGGCTAAAGAAAATTTTGATAAAACAATTTTCCCACTTTAGTTCTTTAGTGACTCTTAGTAGAGGGTAATGGCTGACACCCCCATTCCCTCTCTTCTTCCACCAGCCTTATGCATCTAAGTGTAGCTCCTCTGGAGATGGAGAGCTCTTTCATCATAGAACTGAAGGAGTTTCTCACATTTGTGAAGATACTTTGAGAGAATTGGGTAAAGAAGTTAGTCTATGTCTGCTAAATATAGTTATTTTGAAGGATATTAGGCTCCTTGAAAGTACATTTAACTCACTACAGTTACACCTCATATAATGCTTGAGTTTTTGGCAAGTAAATTTGTTTTCCAGTTGAACTCTGTCACATGTTAGAGATTGGGAACACTCTCTGGTGATTTTCTTTTTCTAAATGACGATGTCAAACGTTGCAGTAGATGGGCAGCTTCAAGAGAAGAATTTAAACTTTTTGTCTCATTGAAAGTTTGGTTAAAGAACTTGAACATAGTTGTGAATTTGATTATATTCTCTGATGATCCCCTTGCACAGAACTATGCTTATCTCATTTAAGTTGTTTGTCCACCATAAACAAATGGCCATTTTTTCTTCTTGGTTCCCATCCCTTTAAAAAGAATGGAACATAGAAGCACTTCCAAGGAAGTGGCTTTTCTTGAAAGTTAAAATTTTTTACCAAAACAGTGTTCTGAAGCAAGATCATATTTTTGTCTGTATTCACTTTATTATTTGAACATGTCCAAATTAGGACAAACCATTTCAGTTAGCTGCTTCTTAGTGTGACTGACAACCCAAAACATATATACAGATTTTTGGCATTTGAAAAAGGAAGCATCAACAGTGGACCCAGAGGCAGTGCATAAAACCTTAGGATAGATTCCTAAGGGACATGCCCAACAGAGTTTTAAAATGGATGTTTTCGTGGTGACAACAGAATCAGATTTAAATTTTTCACCTTGTAAGTTTGGATCAAATTTTGTTGGATCTTTGGATGATGGAGTTCTTGTATTACAAAATTACGTGCTATATGATTTTTTGTTACATTGTTACAAGTGTTAATGACATTTTCATTGATTGATGAAAACTTCAGGGCTTCTTTTCTGTATATAACAAATTAAATCTGTACATATTTTTGTACCTTTTAGTTATGTAAATTTTGCACAGAAATTTTTGGCATAAGTTTATTTTCTTTCAGTTTAGTTCTGTGCATGCACTAATAAAACTGGTTGTTTACTTTAAAAGGAATATATAAGACTTTACCCATGTTATTTTCTTGGTTTTTATTTCAGATGTAGATTTTGTTTTTGAGGTAAATTCGTTTTTCAGGGATTGAACACTATTGTTAGCAAGTGCCTAAAAAAGATGTGAAACAGTTTACATATGTCAACTGTAACAGTAGGTCCCAAATGGGCCCATTCCCCTGATAGTTTTATTTTAAAGAAAGCCATACATAGAATGCTTCAAGCTATCTTGCTATGCACATTATACTTGTACTGTTTTGTGCAGTTTGTCTACTTTCTTAGTGAAGTATTTTTTGTATAAAATGTTACAATTGTGTTTCTTAAATTGAGCCTAAGAATGGAGTTAATTGGAAATATACAATATATATTAATAATGTATATGGTGTTTAAAGAATGGTAAGCATTGTTAATTTCTGTAATGAGCATTTTCAATTAAATTTATCCTAAGTTTGTGTTTACACAATAATTTTTTTTACTGTGCTAAAATCTAATGGACATTTTATTCCCTAACTAGGAAATACAGATTTTAAAGTGTATGTGTTTTTTCAATGCTAGTTAACTGTACAAGATAAAGTGTGGGATTTTTTTTCTTCCCAAAATCATAGATGATATATTGTTTTAAGAAAGGTAACAGATACCATAATTTTACTGTGGTTACGCTGGCAAGGTAAGCCATAGAGAGGCTTATAGTCTTCAGTGCCCTAACGGCAATAAAAATAAAATGCTCTGTTTGTTACATACATAAAATGCTCTGTTTGTTACAGAGGCATCATTTGCTGTAAATAGAGAGGAGAGAGAAGGAACTTTCCTGCTAATATTCACACTCTAAAATTACATTTCAGAATAGCCCTATCAGGAAAATAATGTCAAGATATGTACTTCTTGCCTTAAAGTTTTAACAACCATTTAAGCTTCGTGCTGCAGATATTCTAGTTGGAACTTTTTCTGATTTTGTTAACTTAGGGTTATTCTGAGGGAGGCAAACCTGCTTAGAGCTTCATTATTGCCATTGCAGAAAATCCAAAACAAAATCCTGTATCCTTTATTTTTTTGTGGCTTTTCAAAGAGGACTTTCCAAGATATATTCAGTAGTTCAAGGTCCTTATTACAATTGAAGAGTTAGTTTTAGTTTTGCAGTTGAAATTCTGGGTCAGGAATTGGTTTTATTTTTTCCAATTTGTCCATCTCCACTGAAATGCGTCTCTCACTATTTGGCATCTACTTAAAAAAATTCACTTTTCAAAGAATTTATCTTGCTAAGTATTCAGTAATACGAATTGAAATGTAATAGGTTTTTTAATGAAAAATGTTTTCATTGAGGGGCTAGCAAATTTTTTCAATAAAGGGTCAGATAAATAACTTAAACTTCGTAGGCCTTCTAGTTTCTGTCCTAACTACTCAATTCTCACAATGCAGAAACAACCATAGACAATATATAAATGAATTCGTGTGGCTATGTTTTAATAAACAATTTACAAAAAGGAAGTGGCCTGAATTTGGGCTACCAGGCATAGTTTACCAACTGTTGCTTGAATTCCCTAAGGTCTGCTTTCAGAGTGGGATTTTTATTAAAAAACACAAGCTTGATAAGTTTGGTGATGTACTCCACCTGTGTAAAAGAGCTACAAAGTGTACGAACTAAAATGTATGTGTATAAAGTTTCTAGTGTAGATGTATTTGTATAAAAATGAAGAGACTGTAAATGTAATAACAGTGGTTAGTGGGTAAAATAGGTCATTTGTGTGCTAAGAATAATGCAACTTATGAAGGGATTAAAAATGAGATAGAGCAGAAATGCTGTGAGAAATTATGTCCAGGTTCGATGGGAAAAGGACTTAGATATAGTGATTTGAAATAGCTGTTAAGAAAAAGTAATAGACATTCTTGGGATGGGAGAAAATGGAGGTGAATTAAAAACAGAATATTATGTATTAATTCCATACAACTTATCTTGATTTTTAAAAAATAAGATTCCTTTTCACCATTGACATCTACTTCCTTCCTTAACTTTCTTAACAGAGCCATTTGGGACATTCGCTCTGTTCTTTGCCTTAGCATCATCTTAGGATCCTTGCTGTCAGCATACTTACCTTGACCCATTGGGGATCTCATCCAGCAAAACTTACTGGGGGGATTTTTCAGGGTGGTGGTTGTTGCTAGTTAGCAGAGTATGGCATTAGTGGAAAATTTCCCCTATAATGGAGAGTTGAAATGGTTGAGTTTGATGTTTATTAATTTATGTATGCCTCGCTCAATAAGTGGAGAATTGAGAAGTAATTAGTATCTTGGAGGAAGTATTTCATGAAGTCATCTTTGAGGTGCTTTTTGACTAGTTTAACAAAGCTTCTGTTAATGCCTCCAAATTTAGGAATCTTTTCTGTTTAAAAAGAGAATAATTGTTACAAGAGTGGAAACTTTCAAGTAAATAGTGTGGAAAAAATATAACGTACATCAATTTTAGAAGTCATGATTTTAGGAGATGCCAAGAATGTGCTTAATTTAAATATGTATTCCTAGTGAAGACATTTCTAACGTGTTAAAATAAGAATTTTTCTATATACTTTAAAGTGCTTAAACCACAAGTGAGGGTTATGTTTTTGTGGCAGCTCTTGAAATAAATCTTTCAATTAAGGAGTGAAATGTTGCCTGCTATCATCAGTTACATGATAAGCTATTGCTAATGTCAAAGAATAGGAAAGCAAAATGAAAAATTTGGGAGAGAGACCAACATAATTGTAGATGACATGCTTTTAGTATCTTGAAAGTTTAAAGGAGTACACTGAAAATTAGTTACCGTTCCTGAACAATTAACAGTAATCAACTGGGAAACAATAAAAGAAGACCCATTTATTTGTTTTTTGAGCTGGAGTCTCACTCTTGCCCAGGCTGGAGTGCAGTGGCGCAGTCTTGGCTCACTGCAGACTCTGCCTCTCAGGTTCAAGTGCTGCTCCTGTAGCTGGGATTACAGGTGCCGACGACGATGCCCAGCTGATTTTCATATTTTTAGCAGAGATGGGGTTTCACCATGTTGGCTAGGCTGGTGTCGAACTCCTGACCTCAAGTGATCCACCTGACTTGGCCTCCCAAAGTGCTGGGATTATAGGCGTGAGCCACCACACCCAGCCGATAAGACCTGTGTATAATAAGAGGCACAAAATAATACGAGCCTGCCAAAAAACAACAGCAAGCAAAAAACAAAAAAAAACAAACAAAAACCAGACACCAAACCAAACCTGTAAGATGTAACTGGGAGATACATAGTATTTCTGAGTGGAAGACTAAATATACCCACTTGGCAGATTACATTTTTACAGCTTTGTCCCCCACCCCTACCCCTATTCCCCTCTTCCTCCAACAGAACTGTTCTACAGGGAGGATTGTGGTTTGGGCATTCATTGAGGAGCTGATTTCCCATTCTCTCCAACTGTTCCATAGCGTAAAGGTACAGAGGTTCTGTTCAGTGGAGGGTTGGAGTGAGCTTCAAAAACTGACTACACACCATTATAAGAGGCCTGAATTAGGGTTTTTCAGAGATACAGAACCAATGTAAGAAGTCTTGTCTTGAGGGAATTGGGTTATGTAATTATGGAGGCTGAGAAGTCCCACACTAGGCTGTCTGCTAGCTAGAGACCTAGTGATGGTGGTAGCATGACTCAGTCCAAGTCCAGAAGCTTCAGAACCAGGAAAACTGATGGCTTAACTCTCAGACTGAGGTAGAAGTCCTGAGAACCAAGGGGCCATGGGTGTAAGTCCCTGAATCCAAGTGCCTGAAGGCCTGGAGTTCTGATGTCCAAGGGCATGAGAAGAAAGCTGTCTCAGCTCCTGGGGTATGCGGTTGGGGTTGAGGGGAGAGGATTCAGGGAAAGAGAATTAGCCTTTTCTCTTTTCCTTCTGTCCAGGCTTCTAGCTGTTTGGATTGTGCCTCAGTCACATTGAGGGCACATCTTCCCCATTCAGTCTGATGGCTCACATGCCAGTCTCTGAAAACACTCTCACAGACACACCCAGAAATAATGGTTTACCAGTTCTCTAGCTGTTCCTTAATCCATTCAAGTTGACACTGAAAGTTAACTCTCACAGGACCTGACTTTATTTGTAACAGACTTCAGTGTATTGTAGAAAACAGTAGAGCAGTCAGTAACAGTGGAGGTTGAGCAGTCAGTAACAGTGGAGGTTAAACAGTTGCCAGGTCATTCCAATAGATAACCAGAAGCTTCAAGAACGGATCAGGGAGGCCAGGCACCATGGCTCACGCCCGTAATCCCAGCACTTTGGGAGGCCGAGGCAGGTGGCTCACAAAGTCAGGAGATGGAGACCATCCTGGCTAACACAGTGAAACCCCATCTCGACTAAAAATACAAAAAATTAGCTGGGCGTGGCAGCGTGCACCTGCAGTCCCAGCTACTCGGGAGGCTGAGGCAGGAGGATGGCATGAACCCGGGAAGCAGAGCTTGCAGTGAGCTGAGATTGCATCACTGCACTCCAGCCTGGGCGACAGAGTGAGACTGTCTCAAAAAAAAAAAAAAAAAAAAAAAATCAGGGAAAGAGACAACCTAGATAAAACTACAGACATCCCTTGTGATCAGGAAGACTGTGCATACTGAAGGCTGTCAACTCAGAGGAGTGACCAGAGAGAACTTCTAAACTACAAGTTCCTGGCCAAATGCAGGGCAAACTTGTAAACTCCCTAAGTAGTGAAAGCAGTCTTCAAGCCATACATTAATTAGTCAAGCCAAGTCACTAAAGGGAAGATGATCAGTGTGCAGAGATCCTATGTTACCTAAAATGTCCAGTTTCAACACAAAAATTGAGATATGCAAAGAAACAGAAAAGTATGTGTCCCATATGACAGAGAAATGTAGGAAATATAAAGTTGTTTTGAGGGATACCAAATTTAGGATAAATGCTAAACAGCTGTTATATGTTCAGAGGCTGGGTGCAGTGGTTCACGCCTGTAATGCCAGCAGTTTGGGAGGCTGAGGTGGGTGGATCGCTTGAGGCCAGGAATTTGAGACCAGCCTGGCCAAAATGATGAAACCCCGTCTCTACTAAAAATAAATCAGCCAGGCATGCTGTTGGGTGCCTGTAGTCCCAGCTACTCAGGAAGCTGAGGCAGGAAAATCGCTTGAATCCAGGAGGCAGAGGTTGCAGTGATCCGAGATCGTGCCATTGCTCTCCAGCCTGGTAGACAGTGAGACTCCACCTCAAAATAAATAAATAAATAAACCCAAAGAACTAAAGGAAGCCAGGTGTAAAGAATTAAGGAAAGTATTCTAATGTCTCACCAAGGAGAGAACATAGAGAATTTTTTTTTTTAAGAACTAAATGAAAATTCTGGAGTTGAAAAGTATGAAAACTACAATTTAAAAAGTTACTAGAAAAGCTCAATACTAGATTTGAGCTGGTAGAAGATAGAATCAGCAAACCTGCAGATAGATTGATAGAAGACATGCAATGAGAAACAGAAAAATAAGTTTGAAGAAAAAATGTTCCTCACACTATGTACACAAAAATGAACTCAAAATGGACCATAGACCTAAATACAAGCAAAACTGTAAAACTCTTACAAAAAATATATACAAATATTTGTAATCATTCTCTAGGCAAAACTTTCTTAGCTATTACACCAAAAACAAACAAACAAAATGCAATAGATAATTTGTTTTAAAAGACAGCATTTTTATTACAGGAGATTGTAAAACTAGTCTGTTTTATCTGTTTCAGATTAATTTCAAGTGAATTTCAATAGTGAAAAATTTGCTCTGTATACTTTCATTCTGCCCAACTGTTATTGTCACAAACTACATCTTTATAACAATTGTGTGTCCATCAACATAGTTTTATAATTATGCAGTTTTAAAAATCAGATAGGAGGGAAGAATAAGAGTTAGAAACAGATATACATTGTCTTGCTGCTCCAAAATCTGCAATGTAAAAGGCCCCATGCACAAGGGCAACGTGCTTATTCTGTTGGAGTCAGAGTGAGAGGCCCAGAGGTTGCACCTCACTTGGCTGCTCATTGGGTCTTGGATGCAGGGTTCAACCACTTGGCCAATGGGAATGGTGTGCCAGGATCTGCTTCTTTATTTTATTTTTTGCTCACCACATGGGAATTGAGATGCACCCTTAAATAAAGCATTTATGTTCCAAGTTAAAAAACTCTTTTATGTTTATTTGTGCTGGTGAATATATTTATCTTTCCAGTGTTTTTTGTTTTGTTTTGTTTTTGTTTTTTTCCTTCGTGTGGGTTCAAGTTACTGTCTAGGGTTCTTTCGTTTTAGCTTGATACTCCCTTTAGCTTTTTTTTTTTTTCATGTAGAGCAATTCTGCTAGCAACAAACTCAGTTTTTGTCTGCCTATGAATATCTTAATTTTTCTTTTTAAAAGAATAGCTTTGCTGGATATAGAATTTTTGGTTGACAGTTTTTTTGTTTTTTTAACATTTTCCATCCAACACTTTCAAT